TCCTTATTTATTCAGTGAGCAACTATCTATTCAGTTCCTCTTAATTGCAAGGCCAGTGTCTTTCTCACTTTAAGGAACACAAAGATGAATCAGATATGATTTGTGCCCTCAAAATGCTAGTGATAAAATATGTATAAGTTGGGGCGCCTGGGTGGCTCAGTCGTTAAGCGTCTGCCTTCGGCTCAGGTCATGATCCCAGGGTCCTGGGATCGAGCCCCACATCGGGCTCCCTGCTCCGCGGGGAAGCCTGCTTCTCCCTCTCCCACTCCCCCTGCTTGTGTTTCCTCTCTCACTGTGTCTCTCTCTGTCAAATAAAATCTTTTAAAAAAAAATGTATAAGTTATGTGCCACAAAAATACTATAAGGTTTTAGACAAAATAACATCTGTGCTGCATCTGAAAATATAGATAAAATTTAGAGGGTTCTCAATACAGTGTGGGGGTGTGGGTAAAGAAAGTTTTCTAGGCTCAGGGAAGAGCTTCTGCAAAGGCTTAGAGTCAGGGCAATTCAAGTACTATCGGGCAATCATCAGAAGGTTCACTTTGGCCTGAGTGTTGAATACATTTAGGAAAAGATTGACTGTAAAGTTGTAATGGTGGATTGGGACCAGAGCAGGGGGCCATTAGGATTAAGGCATTTGTTATATAATGAACACTTTGGTATTTTACAGGCAATGAGGGGCAGTGAAAGTTTTTTAATCAGAAGAAAAACTTGATCACAGGCAAGTTAACCTGGTAGTCACTATAAAAATGGATTGGAGCATGGAAAGATGAGAAGATTTGGGAGAAGTCTGTTGAGAGCTAGAACATGGCCAGTGGCAGGAGATACTAAGTGGAGAACAGATTTTAAAAGATATCAGAGAGAAAGTTGACAACATGGAGCCCTTAAGTGGCAGTAGATGCTTCAATCAAGTGTGATTTTGCATAATCCCTTTAACAACCAATCAGTATTTTTCCATAAGAATATCATGACATGTGCGTGGTCAGATGTCTTGTTGAAATCAAGATGTGTTTTGCTTTTCCATTTTCCTTGACTTATGTTGATATACGTATTCTTAGCAAACATGGGCTTCTGCCTTGTCATGACGACTGGCTTTCCTACACATTTGCAACCCTCTTTGTGGTAAAAACAACCCACATTATATAAATTTATTCTTAACAATTTCAAGTGAACAGTAAAATATTGTTAACTATATGTATGTTATTGTACAACAGATCTCTAGAAATTTTTCATCTTGTATAAACTTCATACTCATTGAACCACAACTCCATCTCCTTCTCCCATAGCCCCTGGCAACCACCATTCCTCTTTCTGTTTCTATGAGTTTGATTAGATACCTCAGATTAGTGGAATCATGCATTATTTGTCTTTTTGTGATTGGCTTATTTCATTTAACATAATGTCCTCAAGGTTCATTCATGTTGTGGCATATGACAGAACCTCCTTTTTTAGGGCTGAATAATATTCCATCATATATATATATATCCACCACATTTTCTTTATCCATTTATCTGTTGATGCACATTTAGGTTGCTTCCACATCTTGGCTTCCACATTCACAACACTATTGTGAATAGTGTTGCAATGAACATGCGTGTACAAATATTTCCTCAAGATCCTATTTTCAATTCTTCTGATATACATCTGAAAGTAGGATTGCTGGATCACATTGTAGTTCTATTTTTAATTTTTTTGAGGAATCTCAATACCATTTTCCATAGCAGCTGCACCATTTTACAATTCCACAAATAGTTACCACCCTCCTATGAAAAAAAGTCCATTTCAGAATGCTTCTGATGGCAAAAATTAAGTTCATGGGTGAGTGATTTCTGAAATCATGAGACGATGATAGCATGTGATCCTTATCCAGGGCCGGTCTTCTAACCAACATAGTATGAGCTCAATAAATAATTGTTAAATGAAAAGTTGAACAACTCTAGACTTTTGCTGTCTTTTCTCAATCTCTTGCTTCACAAACATATACAAATGGTCTAGGATTTCATGGAACCAGATTGATGTTCAGAGATCAGAGAGCTTGAAGATCATTTGGCATAGCTCCATAATTTGATGGGTGAAGTTATGTGGTTTCCCCCCACCCAGAGCTGGGCCAGGTGACTTGAATTTATTTAAGGAAACAGCAATTCCTTTTTTTTTTTTAACTTACCCTCAGATTTCAGTTCTCAGCTATATAGGCTCTTTTCAGCCTGAAAATAATTGTTCCTGTTTTCAAATGTGAAAGCAAAATAGAAATAGAGCTTAGGTAGTTGTTTATCTCAATGAGATTGATCTTTTAAGGGGATAACTTTGGGAGATTAAACAACTAGGCACTTCCTACCTCTTTCCGGACCAACTTAGGAACTTTTGAAAGAAGTTATTAGAGTCATCATCAATGTAATCACCAAACAAATTAATCAGATTTGACTCTTAAAAACTTAAATATTTAAAAATTAAGCCCACTCTGAATGGACAAAGATTTATCACTATTGGGAATATTTACTTACTAAGTAATAATGTCCAAGAAGACATGTACTGTGGTATTTAAAAAGTATGCTATAAATTCTGAAGCCAACAGGAATAGGTGTTTTAAAAAGGGGGAGGGGGAAAGAGGAGCATCTGGGTGGCTCAGTCAGTTAAGTGGCCAACTCTTGATTTTGGCTCAGGTCATGATCTTGGGTGTCCTGGGATCAAGCCCCATGTCAGGCTCCATGCTCAGCGGGGAGTCTACTTGAGGATTCTCTCTTCCTCTCCCTCTGCCTCTCCCCCTCCTCAAATAAATATTTAAGGAAAAAAGAGAGAAGTTTAAAGGCAGAAAGGATTATATAGTAGAAAGGGCAACAAACAAATCGGAACACATGAATTCTGGTTCCCAGCTATCACTTACTAATGAGTGACCTTGGGTATTCTGCAAATTTTATATAATATGGTATAATTACGTTATCAGAGTAAGTGTATTGCCGGCTAACATGAGACAGTAAATATATCAGAAAAGTTCCATAGGGTTGTTTAATCTCACTACATTATATATATGTATATATATACATATCACATGTATTATTTTATTTCATATTAGATCGATGCTATGTTCTTCTCCAATGCAACTCAAAGTGCAAAGCCATCCTGTAAGAATCAAAGGCTTCTATGATCAATTAAAATGTTAAAGGGAAGGCAAATGTCAATTAAAAAAAAAGTTCTTCCCCTGCTTTTTAGCTTCTCTCTCCCCTCCCCCAGCCTTTATTCTTCTGATTTATTCAAGAAAGAGAGTATAAAAGCATCTTATTAGCAATTCTTATGCAGGAAATATGAGCACTTAGGGTCAATTGAAAGGAAACTGGGAGAAAGGAGTCAAGAGGAAGAAGAATGTCTTACAATTAGAGAATTTAGTTTAGCGGAACAGTTAAGAACGTCATGTAAATTTGTGTAAATTTATCAGATAAATTTTAAAACATTCTTCCAAGTATTTCATTTTATTACCTCAACATTTTTCCCTTTCCCTGAACCTTTATTCTGATGCTTAGAAATTGTTCTACTTCATCTAAATTATAAGTAAAGTTTTGGAGGCAGTATAGCCAAGGGTATTACTGTTTTACACGGGTTAAAACTGCTAAACAGGCTGATCCTTATTATAGAAAGCTTCCGGGGAAGGTAGTGCTGCCCTCCCAGCAGATGTTCTAAAACTGTTGATCTCGCCCCCCCCGCCCCCTCCTTTTTTCATAAGGAGTATTTTGGGAACATGCTAAAGGCAGTGTGTTGATGTTTTAGTGACAAAAGCTAGATTTCTGTCAGCAGCTTTCATTAAGGTTAGCTTTTAGCCTGTGCCCTCATCATGTGCCATAGATTTAGTTTTGGATTAGCAAGTGCTAATCCACATGGAAATGATCTCTATGATCCACATATGTTTAGCAATCTGATTACATTTTCAAATGTACCTTTTACCTCTTGTTATCCTTAATTTTAAGAGATGTGAACAAATTAATAACATTTGTGTATTTCCTGGTCAGTTTAACTTCTAACCAGGTAGTCTATGAAAGCCTAGTTCCCCAAGGCAAGCTCAGAGAATCTAGAAATCTCCTATCTCGCCTCAACTCTTAGGACAGGGCCCTTTGTGTGCACAGTTCTCACGAATTAAAGAACTTGACTAACTTGAGAAAGATAATAAAACGTCTCCCCAAAAGGTAATTGTTCATTTCAGGGCACTTTTTGGAGATGTTTTTAAGCCAGTGCTGCATCTGATGGGGGGCAGGGAAGGTAAGAGCCGTCCCCAAATGTGGGGCTTAGCACCCGGGGATGCCTCCAGTCAGGCTGACAGATCTCCGAAGTGGAAATAGTCAGTTTTCCCTCCACAGGGCCTCGGCGTGCGAGGGAAGGAGGGGGATGGGCAGGGGCCATCAGGGGAAAAGTCTCCGGCCTTTCCACGTCTCTCAACACCATCCCTCCCCCACCCCCGCCTCCTCCTTCCCCGAATCCTAAACAAGCCGGCGGGAGAGGGGCCCCGGGGGCAGCCTGGGCTGCGAGACTCGGCCTTTGTGGTTCTGTCCTCGACGGTGGCGGGCAGGCAGAGGGGGCGGGGCCGCGGGCCGAAGACCCTCAGCCGGGGCTTGACCCCCCAGGTGCATTGTCCGGCGGGGCCCGCCCCTCCCCGCGGGGCAGCGACAGGGCCGCCACGGGGCCCCCCTCCTGGCGTCTCCCTCCGCCGGTCGCACCGACCTCGCGGTCCCCAGACCAGGGGCCAGATGTAGAAAGTAGTCCCCAGGCCGGCAGCGGCGGCGCTGTCCACTCCGCCGCCCCCGCCCCCTCCAGCCTCCGCCTCACTCCGCCCCCAGGCCGGACTCTCGGGCCCCCAGCCTCCTGCGAGCGGGTGTCCGTGCGCCGGCCTCGCCGCGACCACAGAAACCGCCGCCGGCCGCGCCGAGCCACACCACGCCGGAGCCCGAGAGGGAAGCCCAGGCTGCGCGCGTCCAGCAGCGGCGTGGGGAGCACCCGGAGGCGGGGGCCGGCAGGCGGACAGCGGCTACGGGGCGGCCGGGGAGCATGCCCGCGCAGCCCCGCTGAATGGCGCCTTGTCTGCGACCCCTCGCCCGGCTGCGGCCGCCCGGGATGCTGCTCCGCGCGCTCCAGCTCCTGCTGCTCCTCGGCTCAGGTCCAGGTGGGCGCGCTTTCTTCTGCGTTTCTTCTGCGCCTGTGGGGTTTGAGCCGGCGCGAGTGGGCTGGGGAAAGAGGAAACCGCGGGGGGGGGGTGTTGGGGGGACGGCGAGGTCCTCCGCGGTGCGCTGACCACCGGACCCTGCCCCCTCCCTGCAGCCAGTCTGGAGCCGCTGCTAGGCGCGGGCGGCCCGGAGGCTCTGCGGGGGCGCGGGCAGAGCTGTGGGCGCCACTCCCGGCACACGCCCCTCCTCGCTGCGCTCCCCGAGCCGCAGGCTGCAGGGCCGTGGCGCCCGTTGTCCACTCTTACCCCTTTCTCCTCGCGCCATTGTCCGGGCTCCGACCGCGTCCTCGCCTCCGCGGCCAGCCCCAGCTCCCCGCCGCCGGCCGGGTCGCCGGCTTGCCCGCCGGGGCCGCCGCGGCGCACGTGGCTTTATTTATATTGTTTCCTTAGTGGCAGCCTGGCCACGCAGGGGGCGCCGCGGTTTCTCGCGGCTTCCCCTTTTTGCAGTGGGGGTTTCCCCCACGTTTTAGGGCAGGGGAGAGAATAGGTGAACTCAGCGGCCAGGGCAGCACCTCTAGGGCCCCCATTTTCCCAGATCCAAACCAAGAGAGGAGGAGGAGGAGGAGGGAGGGGTGGAATTGGAGACGAGATGGGTTGGAAGGTGCGTGGCCGATTTGTGCTGGGTGGGGGGGAGGGGAGGAAGGTACCGGGAGCTGAGAAGGCAGGTATAGTCCTATAAATAGGATTCTCCCCTCCCCCGCCCAGCCAGGTATTTTGGGGCAGGGCCCGAGATGTGTACCAATGTGAAGATCACTCCATACTCCAGGTTAACCTTGTACAAACTTGGATGAACTGATTTTTCTCATTTGCGTCTGCGTTGGTTTATCCTCAAAGAGATAAAAAGTGTAAAGTGGATGTGATGATTGCAGGGGGGCGAGGAGGAGAAATGTTCAGGAGAATGGGTTATTTTATTTATTTACAGGTTACAAACCGACTTGCATCTTTTCTGGAGGAGTTAGTTTTCTGTTAACATGAGAAAAGGATCAAAGTCAGATGTGACTCGGAAACACAATGGGCGCCTTCCGGAGTGGTCCTCTAAGCGCGGGGCTGTTAGGGTCGCTCGCGTCGCCGAGGGCATATATTAGAAGTCGGCAGCCCGAGGGTGGGAGCGTGACTAGTGCGTGAGGTTTCCGAGGACCTGCCTTGATGAGAAACAGATCAGTCCCGGGAATTTGTAATCATGTATTCAGAACATCATAAGGAAGATGAAATGTTCCCAAACTTCTCTAACACTCCCCGATCAGTATGCCAGACTTTAGCTGGCCTTTGCGCAGAATGCAGGAGGTGACAGGATATTAGGCGGTCATCGGATGCTTTCTCCTGGCAAGGACGGGGGCGATCTGTATGCTTAGGATAAAACCTTTCCTTTGCTCTGATAAAATGTATATTGTTCAATTAAGCAATCTCCTATCCCTATTAGACAGTAAGGACCAATTAGTCACGCACTTTATTCCAGCAGTTGGTAGTTCGAAAGAGAGAGAGAGAGAGAAAGGAAAGAAAGAAGAAATGAAAGTTTTCAAATCCGATCACCTACTGAATACAATCAGCAAGAGTTACCAGCGTTTCAAAGCCTACTGTTTGTCCGTTAAATACCTACCTTACTCTGCAGAAATTAAGTAAAATGGATCTCTTTCGAGGAGAGGAGACAGAGTCCTTGCTGTAAAAGGACAGATATAAAAATGCAAACTTGTAATTTGTCACAAAAGATAAATGCACTTCCCAAAGGAGTAGGTGCCAAGGGGTCCAAAACTCTTCAAGGGACAAGGAAATAAACTTGCTTGTTCACAGAGTTGGAGTTTTGCTAATGATTTCTTGTAAAATTAGACTTTTACGACTTACTCTGCTCAAGATCTTTTTGACAAGCTTGTAAAAGTAGCAAACAGCTTGTGCTCATGAGTTTTCCTGATGATTTTGATACTCTAGCAAGGAGCTTGAGAACAGGATTCTTACAAGGCATAGAAGATTATGAAATCTTCCCTTTGCTTTTAGAGTAGGTGTTGTAAAAGATGATTTTTCTGATTTGTTGAAAAGGTTTGCTGAACTTAGATTGGTTTATTAAGGTGTTTATCAGTTAACTAATATGTTTGTTAAACTTTGTCATGTTACACCCTGAATATGTTTTACAATTATGTGTTAAAGAAATGATTTTATATCTGTAATTCTGGATATGCCCCCCCCCCCTTTTTTTCCTTATAGGAGTGTGGTGCTTTAGCGAACTGTTTTTTATAAAAGAACCACAGGATGTAACTGTCACGAGAAAGGACCCAGTCATTTTAGATTGCCAGGCTCATGGAGAAGTTCCTATTAAGGTCACATGGTTGAAAAATGGAGCAAAAGTGTCTGAAAATAAACGGATCCAGGTTCTGTCTAATGGCTCTTTATACATCAGTGAAGCGGAAGGCAAGCGAGGAGAGCAGTCTGATGAAGGATTTTATCAGTGCTTGGCAATGAACAAATATGGAGCCATTCTTAGTCAAAAAGCGCATCTTACCTTGTCAAGTAAGTGTTTAAATTCTTCATTGTTTGACACTTTTCATTGCTACATTTTGATGATTTTGTGATTCACTATGTGCTAACCCTAAAAATCACACAAACATTAAGAATTTTCCTGGAGATAGTAGCTGATGCTAACTAAGGCATGCAGAAAAATCTGAGAAAAAAATATAAGTTTGAATAAGTGATTGAGAATGAAAGTCAAGTTAGTTTTAGAACACCTAAACCTGTAGAAGTGGCTTTCTATAAATTTACAAGTGTTTCACACTATGAAAAGAGTTGGGTGTAAAAGTTTGGCTAATACAACGAAAGCTCTAAAATCTCATCTTTCATAAATTAATAATTAAAATTTAAAAATCACAAGCAAATCTTTCTGCTTTGTAGATGGCCCTTGAGTGCTAAATCTTTCTTAAAGCCCAATCTTCCATTTCTCTGAGAGCTTTAAGATCACTCATGTTGCTTTTTAATTGTAGAGAGGGCATTGGTCAGTAGCTCTCAAGCCTTTGAAGTATTCCTAGTCTTTTTCTGCTGGGAGAGAAAGAGGTTAAGGCCATTTCCATATTATGCCTAATGGATTTAAAACAGATCTACCCCCTTTATTCCAGTTGTCATAAAGTCTGCTGTCTAATGATTTCCTTTGTATTAACAGCCATGTCAGATCAGCCATTTGTCCAAGTGACCCAGTGCTTGGTGGTTGACCTGATAACTGTTGAGTGTAAAGATGGGCCTAGGATGAATGGGGAACTCCTTGTTTCCATTGAGGCTTTCCACCTCTTTGGGGGATCAAACGTGCAACACTCAAGATGACAATAGAAAATGTAAATCTTAAAACAATGACAACTATATTTTAAAAATAGTTTTTGGGGCGCCTGGGTGGCTCAGTCGTTAAGCGTCTGCCTTCGGCTCAGGTCATGATTCCAGGGTCCTGGGATCGAGCCCCGCATCGGGCTCCCTGCTCCTCTCCCTCTCCCACTCCCCCTGCTTGTATTCCCTCTCTCGCTGTGTCTCTCTCTGTCAAATAAATAAATAAAGTCTTAAAAAAAAAAAAAAATAAAAATAAACTTCTTAAAAAAATAAAAATAGTTTTTATAAGTATTGCAGCTACATTCTTTTATTAGTCTGCAAAAGATAGATTTTGTGCTTTACTGACAAATTGATCATTTCAGGATGAACAATAGGAAGAGGGAGCTCTTGAGATAAAGCATATTCTTTAGGAAATAGTTTCTTCAGGGTCTACACAGTTGAAATTTAGAAAGCTACTGGCAGGGATTTTCTAGGTGACTTTAACTATTTTAACAGTGTATGACCATATTTATGCCACCATCATATTAGTAATTTATTTTATTTGTGCAGTAATGATTAATTATAGAAAATTATCCAAGCAAAGATACTTTTATATTGAAATATATCAGAAAGGTAGAAAAGTTCCCAGTTCTAACCTGCCCCCCCCCCAAGAATAGCAAAAACCTGAGAAAATTTCTGATAAACTTTTTTGTTTGTCATAATCACTGGCCAATATCATTTTGTTGTTGTTGACTAACGGTTTTTCTGTGCTGTTTTCAAGATAGTGTGCTCTGTTCATTTATTTTTTTGTGTAACATAAAGTTGTTGTATAGAGTTGTAATTTTGTCACCTTTTCAGGGTTGTGGAAGGTGTTTCATACCCAGGAACTGTAGCTTGTAGTTCTTTGCTGGAGAGGAGAGGAGCAGGATAGAAAGGTGGAGGAGGGCGGATGGGCCTTGAAAGGATGAAGCATTTATCATGACCACACATTATTTCCAGGACCTCCTTAGTAGCCTGACAAAATTCTAAGGCACTCAAAAATGCCTTGATAACACACAGAGCTTTAAAGTCTGTATAGGATAATAAGTGTTATTAACAGTGAAACAAATGTTAGTATTGGCTTTTTAAAATATCTTTAGATTTTTTAACTGTAAAAATTATGGATAATAAATATTAGATGTGAATAGTTTTGAAAGCTGTTGTGAGGTAGTTTTCATATAATGAGTATCAAAAACTTTCTAGTGAAACTGTGTAGAACATTGCTGTTAAATGTCAACTGTACTCAGTTATAGGGACCACACTTTTCATAAGCACATGTTTTATTTAACTCTGTGGAGATATTTTGCTAGGAAATTACATTCAGTATTATAGATCTAAAATGAATGCATAGTGGTTTTAAATTTTTCTTTAGAAATATGAGACTTCTTAGAGGTTCTGAATTCACAAAGTTAGTTTGGATGTTTAAAGAGCCATGTCCAGTGATATAGGCTCAGATGACTTTATCTTATGTCCAGAGTAAAGATGTTATACATATTAAACAGGAAGAGAATAGGCATTAAGTGGACATTCTGTTTTGCTTAAAAAAAAAAAAAAAAAAAAAAGCTTGGTCTCTACTACTTATTGATAGCAGCAGGGTGCAACTATGTTCTTTTTATTTTCTGATCAAAGATTTGTCAGCAAGCATATCTTTTGGTTCAGAAGTGTAAGAGTACAGCATCTGAAAATCTAAAACTTTAATCTGTGCAAGTTTTAGATTTTTAACACATATAGGCAATCAAGTCTTGGTTTCTAAACTTAGGAACTAGAAGCTGAAAGTTGCACTCTAGGCAAGAATTCCATTATTCATGTGTAAATTAGGAATTCACAGGGTTAAAAGGTTAGAAACTGGCCAGGATGAGGTTTACCCTTGTGATAAAGAGCAGATGACCCTCATTCATTGGCCAAAGCTTTCATGTAGCTCTTCCTGCAAAGTTAGTTATTGCCATGAATTGTTCTTGAGGAATGCAGAAATTCAAATGTGAACAGGCCTTTCCTTAAGTGTCACTATGGAGTCTTATCTCCCAAGCACATCAGAGCTGGCTGCAGGGACAGGGTTCCTCCCCAAAGGCCTGGAGGCTTTGCTTTCCTGTTGTTCATCCGAGCACAAAAGAATTTGTCTAACTTAGTTTTTCTAAGGCATCCCATTTTTAAAGGAAAGTACAGGGTTAAATTAATATTTAGGTTTTTTTTTTAAAAAAGGTAATCCTTTTTGTTGATAAGCATTTTAGCCGTTTTACATTTTCATGGAGTTAGAATAGAAAGGAGAGTATGTGGGAGGCCCTTTTTCTAGTTGTATACAATAGTAAGAACAGAAGATTAAGCTGTTTCCTATAAATTGCAATATTTTTAGCTTTTGGCAAATTGAATTTTCACTTTCAATGGCGCTAAGTCTTCACTATGTAAATAATTTAATTTAAATATTTTAGGAATAAGAAATAATCCATGGACATTTTGATGTTTCTTGCGTTCTTAACATTAAAGTAAGATAAATTTCATAGGAAAGCATTAGTGTGGTAAAACGGTCTCATATTTCAACAAGTTTAAATTAAGATAAGAGACGTTTGAGAGAAGTAAAGGAGGAGGCGGGTTGTGTTCTGTGATGTGTAAAAGACTGGCTGTAAGCGAGTGATTGAACAGGAAGCTAGTTGTTTATTTCCTTTCCATAAAAGGTGGAAATTGAAGTCTTAGGATACAGGGAAAGAGAACATAAAGCCAGCTTATATTTCTAGGTATTTCGGGACTGTTCACTTGGGTGAAAAATCATTTTTTAAGCGAGCATTTGTTAGCCGGAAGACCATAGTATTGTAACTTTATGATGTTCCCCCCCTCCCTCCCCCCGCCAAAATTTTGAAGTTAGTTTTTGCATGTGTAAAGTTGGGGGGGAGCGGGGGAGGTGGTCTGTATCTATAACTTTACATAGCAATAGTAATTCCCTTTAAAAGGATGTAGTTTAAATGGAGATGAAACTTGAGGGCTTTTATTGTTGTAGTTAGATTAATGAAAAACTGTTCTATGAGTGTGGTTTCTATTTTAAGGAGTAATACATAAATTATAGCCCAAAATGAGTTAAAATATATTGAGAACATTTAATGACTCATGTTAAAAAAAAAAAAAAGGTGGGTGGTTGAAAAGAGAAAGAACTATGAGACTATTAGCCTAAATTTAGAATTTTATTAGTGATCTAGGACCCAAGATGGGCAAGATTTTGCTACAGTGTCACTTTTTATTGAGATTTGTAGATGCTGTAAAGGGGAACACCTCTTACATGTGTGCATATTCACTTCAGGCTGTTAACAGTTACCTGTCCTAATTCAACAGTTGTAACACAAAAGTAAAAGTCATTTGATTTCAGAAAAATAACGAAAGAACTGAGGTATTTAGAGAGACCCATCTGCCAACACTGTAGATAAGGTTCAGATGATGCTTTCTGGGATCCAAGAAAAATCATCTTTAAAGAGAAGAGGTTATGGTTCAAGAGTACATGTTTAACTTAAAAATTGACCATCTTAAAATTGCTTAAGTCAGGGAAGTAAAAGCACATAGAGTTCTACAGGCTTATATACAATGACACTTGGTTCTTTAAGTCTGTCTACTTAAAAGGTTTATCAGGTACCTGATAATCTCTGGGTAATGGAACCAGTTTTTCCCACGTTGCACTTGATTAGTGAGGATCATTTCTCATCTTCAGAAACCTGTAACACTATCTCACTGTTTTTCAAAGTTGTTGGATTTTTAATTTTATAACCAAGCAGGATCCACTGAGGGGTAGAATTATAATTTGCTTTAAGATGTATATAAATGTGTTTATTTTATTTCTGTTCAGCTTCTTAATGGAATTTTGAAAGGGCATTTGGTATGGCCCTCTTCTGTCAACTATCTCTGATTATTCTAAAGAAAGGGTCTCACTCTCAGCACTTGTTTGCCAAGGGATTTGTTGTCATTGCTCCTGAGTTTAACAGCTGGGCCTATTGATGGAGTCCAGAGTAATTTAAAAGACTAGCAAAAAAACCAAAATACAAAAACTCCCCCAAGTCCCCCCCAAAACAAATCTTTTAAGCAGGACTTTAAGTTGAAGCACTATTTCAATAAACAAATAAATAAATACATTTGAGGTTACTTTTTTGAGACCCCTAATAGCCCTGACTACAATTTTGAGAGAGAATTTTTATTTCTCATAGGCAGAT